AAGCCAGGCGATACAATTACCATATCGATCATCAACTTTTGTACATAAGCGTCCCTTTACCAGGGATACTTGTGCACGCTTTGATGCTCGAAAAACATCATGTCTGTTGTTTCTCACAAGACTACAACAACTTCATGCCGATTTTGTCGAGGTCGCTTGGGCGTTCTTTTCAATCATGCCTTTCCACTTTTCAGTGTCTGCTCCGACATGCGAGTTGAAAGTGGATTAGAAAGTAGATTCTGTGGTCGGCGATTCGTACAAAGCACCTTCTGCTTCCTTTAGGAAGGACTCATTTTCTCCGTCTAGATTGGGTGCATGTGTCTGTAACAAATTCGCAACTTTAGTTGCTGTTGCCTCAGTCAGAGAATTGCCACGTTTCCGCTGACAGGCTTCCATTCAATGATTCTATTAGCCAGATTGTGTTCTACTAGAACACCAACACCTCGCCTTAGCGCGCCTCATATGTCAGCACCTGAGTGGAATAATATCCACCTGCAGAAGTTCAGAATTCCAGAGTCTTGACACTGCGTTGATCAGATTTTAACTATGTTGAGTTGGTACCATGCAGCCTCACCAGCTGGCTCCTGCGTTGTCTCTCTCAGTGAGGATTTGTTCCAGTTAGCGACTGTAAGCTGCTACTGTTGGCATCGTTCCCGTGGAGCCATGTCTGATATGCTGTAATGGCATAGCGCTATCTGCTTCCTCCTTTCAGAACGGGTAGCATCTCGTTTTCGACTTATATCCTCATTGTCGTTTTGTCGATCTTCGGCAACCGTTGTCGTGCTTCTACGCCCCCGGCTGCCAGAAGGCGATGGGCACTTTCTGAGCGCTGCCTTTTGGCAGCCTGCTTTAGTTTGCCAACAGCCTCCGCGGCCCTCGGTAACCCGGGCGACGACCGAGCCGATATAATGTTGTTACTGCAGTACCATGAGAGACTGGCGATTGTATAACTTTTAAATGGTTTTTGATAGTGTATTCAGTATGTTCTGTTTAAATTTAGGTTGCAGAAGACGATCTTGCTGAATGCGCAGAATACGCATTATCCCTGCCAAAGTCGTCTGGGCAAACGAAGGCGAACACTTCTGGCTTAAGCGAGAGCGGTCAGTTTGTGCCAGGTTTACATGTTGTTTGTTTGTCGAAACTCGGCGAGTTTCGCTTTAATTTATCTTTCAAAGTTTGCAGGGCCCCTGCGCCTGCACTCTATTTTGCAGCTCCAAAATTAGTTCAGATAGGGAATTTCTAAAACTTGATCTGGAGGGAGGGAACGGTAGATTTACGGTAAATTTTAAGAGTTCTTTTTCATGTAGCGTTTCTCAACGGCTATTTTACATCTAAGTACCGGCGGTGTTCATACTTACCAGATGAGCATTATCTTCTGGCGCTCACTTTTTTCTCTCTTGTTTCGTCGATCCGATATATCACATTACAGTTATACCTTTGCTTATGTTACACCAAGGTTCGTCGGGCTGATTGGAGGAAATGCGTGTATCAGGGTAGAAAATATTAAGGCAAAGTTTGCTGTCTGGAAACAACTTTATCTTGTTGACTTCCTCTGAAAATTAACAGAAGGAAAGTTTATGACCATTGGAGATTCTGACATTTTCATGACATGAG